CGCGAATGTGATACAAGGATTGAACAATGATTTACATAAGCAGGTGCGGTTTATGTGTGTTGTGGGGGGTTAAGCCGCTTTGTGAGAGTATTGTTTTATGCCGTTTTTAATCAGAGGTCACTGAAAATGACGTTCACACATTGTACCCTAGACTTGCAAGGTATTAATTAATAGTTTAAATGATTTCTAAAAAAAATATAAATAATATTAATATATTGTCCCTCTAACAGACCGGCATCCTTAGACCGCCCGCTTATCTAGACTTGCCTCTTTAAAGGATAGAATTACTATACATCCATGAGCTTAGCATTCAGTACAGCCTTGGAACAAGCTATCGTCCGGGTGTAAACAATATCTGTGTGGCGCAACCCACCTCGTTATAGCGCGAGTAAACGTGTGACGTCCGAAAACAAATAATCCGACGATATATATGATTGAACTGTTATTCTTGTTCAAAGCATACTGTGTTGGTAAATGTGACAGTCCAAACACTGTGTTTGTCCTCTTGTGAGCAGGTTTATTATCATGTATATTGTGTCGTTGTATGTCATTTATGAGGCGTCAGAGTATTCTGTTGACACATTCCGCTGACATCGGCAGTGTCGTCGATGTCGTGCAACATATATGCCATACACCGTCGACTTTGTTCAAGACAACAATACGAGCGTTCAGTGTGAAGCGACACGAGCAAAGGTCAAGATATTTATAAGTGTTTCACAATGTGTACTACTTGTACACTCGGTTACGGAAAGGGGGTGGTGACGTTGTATCACTGTAGTAAAGGATCTTGTCCCGTCCCAGAACTATCCGAGGCAGTGGCGGTGACGATTTGGTGCGACCCTGAAACTGACGGTCAGAGTTCCCTAAACAACCCGATCACCCCAGAGGGAGTGAGTATAGTTTTACGCCGCCTTTAACACTATTCAAACACAATCAGCACAGGGGATACAGAAGTAGGCTCCAAACATTGTACGTATGTTGAAATCGAACCGTCTTTAGACGTGACGAGGGAACACTTCAACTACTAGGCTACTTTCTCCTTAAAACTTCAACTTAATCACTGAGCCTGGCCTTCCAATCCATTCAGTCGTCTCGTAGAAGTATATATTTTCTCTATTCCTCCAAAGGAGACCCGTGAAGGTCGGGGTTAGAATATTGATCTTCAGTAACCCTTGCTTGTCGTAAAGGACTAACGGGATCGGGTGGTCAGGCTCGCTGGCTTGGTTGACACATGTCATCGGTTCCCAATTGCGCAGATCGATGCTCATGCTGTTGATCACTGGATTGTCTCGTCCAGACTCGATTATTTACAGACCGCCGCCTATGGCTGGAATATTGGTGAGTGCGGCGTAAAACTAAACTCACTCAGTTACAATACTTGTTATAGTACGTCTGTGGAATAAACATGTTTCCTCAGTATATGAGTGTCGCTGTCTTCGTAGCACTGTACAATGTCGCCAGATATCTAGTAGGTAACTTCGCAGTTGAGAACTATGATTTATGAATAAATATGGAAGTGAAGATGTAAAAGTGTATCATCACTACGTGAGACTGCCGGATACTGTTGCCGGGACGGTCGGGAGATTTGATACATTACCCTGCCGAGTCGATAGCGTGGGGCAGTTGCTATGACGACAGGCTGATTGGTTGACGCTTCGAAGTGGGAGTGAGTTTAGTTTTACGCCGCACTCAGCAATATTCCAGCTATAAGGCGGTGATTTGTAAATAATCGAGTCTGGACCAGACAATCCAGTGATCAACGGCATGAGCATCGAACTGGGCAATTGGGAACCGATGACATGTGTCAACAAAGTCAGCGAGCCTGACCACCCGACCCCGTTAGTCGCCTCTTATGACAAGCAGGGGTTACTGAAGATCAGTATTCTAACCCGGACCTTCACGGGCGCTTCGAAGTGGGAAGGTTTATACGGAGAGATACTGATCTGAGGACCTGGCGACATACCAGACCGAGGAACATGTTTGCGGTTGTTGGATGAGATAACAAGTTGTCGTCTGCTCGCATGTGTGCGATGAGCACAGGCCGAGGCAGACGTGACGCCCGCAGACGCTGTTGAATACTGTAGATTTGGTAGGTGGATCCTGTTCATTGAAAGACTTGTTGATCGGTCAGTTTGTCATTGTTAGTGGTTGAGTTTGGTTATATGATGAAGACTTTTGAGGGAGAACGGAGTTATATTCCCCAAATTCGCGGAAGCATGCAGGCATAAAGTACCTCAAGTTTTTTAAAGTAATTTTGTTAAGTCAGTAAAATATTTCGTCATTGCTGCTCGAAGGTTGGACAGGCCAGGGCAGACAAGGTTCCCAGTGCCCGCTTATCCAGCAAGCGGCCAAGCCAATCTGACGTACAGCTGGTCATGTTTCACGTGAGTTACTGTTCAAAGTACCAGTCACTAGTTTTGTCTGGCCCCGACTCGAGTATTTCCAGAACACACCCGTGCAAAGTGCAAACTAGCGGAAGACGTTTTGAAGACACTGTGAAAATAGGGGCTCTTGAGATCCATGATTTACTATATATTCAGGAAACTGTCGAAACAACTTGTTCGCGCCATGTTTTTGAGACTGAAGAAAAGTCAGCAGGTGTCTAGATAACCCTTGATGATAAAATGTCTTACATTTACGTTTGTCAACTCAAATTGGCCCGCGAACTCTCGGCAGGTGTGCGTGTTACTCGCAAGAGGGCTGTTGTTGAGAACTTGGACTAATTCTTAGTCTCTGAATGTATATAATTTTGATAGTAACAAGGAAGTTGTCTGTTTGAAATTTGATATGATAAAATGATAAGATTCGAACCACAGACCCAATCACATATGAAATGTTGGGTGGTTCCACGCCATATCTAGATACTGTAATTGGTACCGTGTTTGAAGCTGGACATTTGTCTGTCCTTAAGGGCGATAATTGATGGATGTTAACTTCTATATTGTTTGGGAGCGCAGTAGAGCAGTGGTAAGGCGTCTGCCTATCACGCTGAAGGCCCGGGTTCGATCCCCGGTGGAGGCACCTAGGTTCGGGTCCGAGGTTTGCACATTTGCGTAGTATCCTTGGACAAGATACTTAGAGATCCACATTGTCTCAGTTCACCCAGCTGTAAAATGGGTACCCGTGAGGATGTGCTGGCAATGTGAGTGTTAGTTCATCGCGCCTAACAGGCAGCATGGCTGCATGATCCCCAGGGAGTTGAAAAAGTATCGGAAAGTACGATAGTGTCCTATGAACGGGGATAGTATTGTACGTAGCGCCGTGAGCAGGCAATGTGCCTGGATATGAGCGCCATATAAGCGGACTATTACTATTACTATTATTTTATTTATGTTTTCGCGAACACGAGATCATATAGCCCAAACGTCGTGTCCCCCCAAAATAAGGAAGTTGACATCTGTAAATTCTCGCCTTTATATGTATCCCAGTGCCGTTCAAGGACTCTGTCTCTGCTGAATGTTTGAACTGTTGGATGTCGGTTAACGATTGGAGGTATATTGCCTTCTTTCCGGATTTGAAAGAAATTTGGTCTGACATTTCTCCCAGCTCATGGCCACACATGATTCGGAAATATAATTTTCCTGACGCGTGTGACCCCGAGTCATGGAAATAGTATATCACGTCAACTCAGTTTAACACATAGGTAGCTGAACAAAACGATATAAATCGCCGTGGCGATTCAGCTGTCGCCTGTAGATCTTTATAGGGGAAACAACGTCTGAAGTAGATAACGATCCAACTGGAGAGTAATGTTTGCTGACCTCCACGCACTTGCAGCAGCAGATGCGGCGTGTCCACTGGCTGTCCATTGTGTTCCGTGGACACACGCAGTGCACAGGTGCATCCCGCTGTGTCCGACATTGGCTGGATAGTGGTGGCTCCCATCTGTGTATGGATAGTGAGGGACGTGATAGTGGTGGCTCCCATCTGTGTATGGATAGTGAGGGACATGATAGTGAGACCTAATCCAAGTCTGAACCAAGTGAAAAGTTAAAAAATGAAAAACTGGTGAAAATCATAATAGCTCAAGGGGCCATGGGGTAGCCTAGTGGTTAAAGCGTTCGCGTCAAGCAGAAGGGTTGAGTTGAGTTGGGCTTTACGTCACATCGGCGTTATTCCAGCCATATAGTCAAGCAGAAGGCCCAGGTTCGATTCCCTATGTTCAATACAATGTGTGAAGCCCATTTCTGGTGTCCCTCGCGGTGATATTGCTGGAATATTGCTAAAATCTGTGTCAAATCCAACTCACTCACTCACTCACTTAACAGATCAAATTAACTCGATTATTTTCATTGTTTTATTGTTTTTACTACTACTACTACTACTACTACTACTACTACTACTACTACTACTACTGCTGGCGGTGGGTTAACCTGGTGGTTAAAGCGTCCGCTGGTCACGCCGGAGACCCGGGTTCGAATCCCACATGGGCACAATGTGTGAAGCCCATTTCTGGTGTCCCCCGCCGCGATATTGCTGGAATATTGAAAAGTGTTGTGATTTTGACTGGCAACTTCGCAACTGGGCACAATATCTCTGGTTTTTGGGCAACATATTAGGAAAATCTGTGACTTATATATCACTGTAAAAACTCTTTTGAAAACATTTACATCGCTTTTTCGAAAGTAATCCAAAAGTACCGGGTGTATACTTTCTTTTGTACGTCAGTTTATGATGTGCAGCTACATAGTGCCTGGTCACAGGTTTGTCTGGTCCAGATCCTGTATTTGGTGCAATTTATATTGCTGCACAAAACGATATTGACTCCATCACCTATTTAACACCAAATGATGGGTTTTTGCTTCATGGGGGAAAATGTTTATTATAATTGTCTGTTATAGTTTAACAGGAAACTAAGCAATCTTACAGTTGTCAGATCTGGACCGGACAATCCAGTGATTGGTTGAGATTAACGTTGGCGAGGGTCAATATTCTTGCCATGATTCCCTCAGGTAAATCTAAACTGTCAATAAATTATCAATGCTTTGTTTCGTTTGCAGGGTGTACCATGATCTAAATAGCGGCACTTGTGATAATGACACGAGCAATCGACTCCAATGATGACTGCTGCTGTAAGGATAAGTGCGAGGAGGAGGAGGACGTGCGAGCGCCCTCTAGGGGCAACGGCCCTCCCGATGGAGGATGGGGATGGATGGTTGTCCTTGCCTCTCTGCTGTGCAACATCATCGTTGACGGCATCTGCTTCACCATCGCCACCTTCGAACAGCAGCTGATGAGTCGGTTCGATTGTAACCATGCGCAGGCAGCTCTCATACCCTCCCTGTTGGCGGGCTGCTACCTCACTGTAGGTGAGTAAAAACACCATCACACAAGGCGGGAAATGATACAAGGTCACAATACAATGCCAGTCACGATGTATACAATACATCATACACTTGTTTAGCTTCCATCGTGTGGAAATGTTATCAGAAATATTTCAGAGTAGGTTCTGAAGGAGATATGGTCCTCGATGCATGTTCATAGCGGTTATTTTAGTAGAACTTGAAACACTCATTGTCATTCGTTGTGTGATATTTGATTGTCAAACATGGACGGAGGGTGGGGTGTTATTGAATGAGTAGTCATTTTGCAAGTGTATTATTTTGTATCGGTGCAGATTATGAAAGAAATAGAGAAAAAAAATCGCCATAGTTGTGTTGCTTCACACACACACACACACACACAAACACAAACACAAACACACACACTCCCTCAGAGAGTCTCTTCCTCTCTCCCTAAATGAAGCATGTCTAGATTTACTCAGGTTCAGAATCTCCCATCTCACTGGGACTCCTTTTCAATTTAAATGAGTTTATTTGTTACTAATAAAATTATATATATTCTGGGTCTAAGCGTTTGTCTAAGTAAAGAGTACAGTTGTTGGAAAGTAGTATTATCCTCAAGATAAGATCAACATGTTTCTAATCCACACAGGTCCGCTGGTTAGCGCCCTGGCCTCTAAATATGGCTGTCGGAAGGTGACGATCATGGGCAGCCTCATCGCAACATCTGCCTTCCTGCTCAGCACACAAGCAAGCAGTATTCAGATGATGATCGTAACACTCGGAATTATGGGAGGTAGGTTGATTGTCTTGGTAGGTTCCCAATGGACGATACAGAATATTTTATCAAACTAATATGTCTCCTCCCCCATGGGACTTCCCTTTTAGGGACTGTTCATAATTCATGGTGGGGGGGGGGGGATGATGATTCTTATGGAGAAGCATATACAATGTGAATGATCCCCCTTAAATTATATGGACAAAATCAATGACTCCCCCTCCCCTTCCAAAAATTACTAACCCTTCCCATAATTACTAAGCATAATTTTAAACATATTTTTATGAACACCCCCACCCACCCCTTAAAATCATAAAATCATCATCACCCCCACTGGCCATAAATTATGAATGGTCCCTAAGAACATATTGAATGAAATTGACAATTTAAAGCGCAAGTCCTTCATTTTCAATGCTTTCGTTTTGTTCAAAATAACATATGAAGAATTCTTTTATTAATGTATATTTGACTTTCACATTTTGCTCTATCACCTCTTTGATAGAAGATAAAGATATGTCCCATCAGAAGATATTGAAGATGACAGAGGGAATTTTATCATATGAGGGATAGTGTTATCAATATGGTACACCAGTGCAATATATTTGGTATCATCATTTGATAACTATGGAAATGAGGTTATCAAGTCGGAACTAGTTGCAGTAAACTCTTTAAATCGAGCCAAAGTCTACTTGCTCCAAAAACATTTTCGTTCAGTTCCCCAAAGGTTTAGATCGGGTTTCCATTTGTGGTTATGTAAACCAGCATGAAACCAATCGTTTTGAAAAAATTAATAGGACAGTTCATTTATGTCAGTGTATGACTTCATTAGTTAAATTAATAAATTTAAACATGTTACACTTCGATTTGTTTAGATTAAAATTATCAATATCATCCTTGTCTGTTTCCATATCGGTAAATATCATATATTAGAAATATGACGTATTAAAAGTGTGCAAAATACAAAAATATTCCAATTTATCACATGAAAATACACTCAGCGAATAATGTATATTTCACTCACTAACCCATAAATCACTGACTTGTTTGTGTTGCAGGTATTGGGTTTGGTATGATCTACCTCCCAGCGATAGTGACCGTTGGATTCTGGTTTGAGAAGAAGCGTGCATTTGCTACAGGTATAGCAGTGTGTGGATCTGGCGTGGGAACATCCATCTTTGCACCGTTTGTCAACTACCTCGTTGAAGAGTACCGTTGGCAGGGTGGACTTGCCATCTTGGCAGGACTTATCCTAAACTGTGTCGTGTGTGGGGCACTCTTCAGGCCGCTGGACAAAACCCCTCAGAGAATTCCCCGCCGCATGGTTGAGATTCAGCGAGGATCGATCATGAAAGCCCTGATCGAGGAAAAGAAACGACAGAGAACAATCTCCAATGGTTCCTTGGACAACTGTATTATTACAAAAGACAACCGCCTCATCAAGATCGACCCTTCGTTCTTCGAGGCTAAGCGGAACAACTCGTTTATTGCTAGGTTTAAGGAGTCGCTAGGTTTCAGCACCAAGAGTTTGGACAAGAGTAAGCAGAGCCTGGTGATTCCCAGTATTAAGATTGACCACCATGTGTCTAATGGCAACTGTGCTGGCTCCCAGCCTCTCAGCCCCATCTACAGACCCAGTGCCAAAAACACGTCTCAGTCTTCCCTGTCCACCAGCAGCGACAGTGGGTGTAACATGACACCTGAGTTCATCCTCACCGCCAAGAGCTGTGACATAATCCCTGGGGCAGTGCGGTCCTCACAAGACTCAGAATTAAATTCGTGCACGCAGAGCATGAAATCTGTGAACTGTCCCGCGATGGGAGCGAGTGTGATAAGTATCCAGGTCGTCCCGACCCCACCAACCACGCGGTCACGCCACCGGGCGTACAGGTCCTCTTCGTCGCGCTCCATTGCATACGCGAGTTCAGGGAACATGCACCCTTCGAGTATTGTGTCGGGTAGTGTGATGAGCATACCTCAGTACAGTGTGCAGACTATCGACCAGTACGAGGAGAAGCAGTCCACCTTGAGGAAAGTCTTCTATCTTCTCAAGGAGATGTTTGACTTCCATTTGCTGAAGAGCCCGATGTTTGCTCTCCTAGTATTTGCCAGTATTCTCAGCATGTTGGGTAAGTACTGACTTCATCTCCCGTTGTATATTCATTCATGTTATACCGCCTCCGTGGTGTAGTGGTTAGAGTGTCCGCCTGGAGAGCGGAAAGTCGCGGGTTCGATCCCCGGCCGCGTCATCCCAAAAGATGTTAAAATATGATACTTGTTGGTCCCTGCCTGGTGTTCGGCATTAATAGGTACAACAAGGACTGGTCGGCTCGGAGTTATTATAATGTGTCTGAGTGGGGTATTCATGCTTAATTGCGGCATGGTATCTCAGTGAGCAAGCACACACATGCACGTCATCATTTCACCACCTCCTTCATGTTATTTCCCAGATGAGTCGTCTGTATGTCATCGTGCTTGTCTGGCTCTGTTAATCTGTACCAAGTATGTGAGTGTTTGAACATTGTATAAGAATCTAAGAACCAAGGTTTTACCTCAACTCACAAACATGGGGGTCTTGGTACCCCCTAATAATTAGTTTTAAGGGTCCTTGCAGGCAGTACAAGGGTCTTATGAAGTAATGGTTTAGAGAACTGTATGTTTTAGTTTGTTGGGGCATTGTATTTAATTGTGGTGGTGTGTGATCTGGTGCATAGAGCTCAGGTCACAAGTTAGGTGACGTTAAGCAACGTAGGTGAAGAAGAGTCCTTTGATGGGTGACCATGTTTGGCAGCTTGACTCCTGAGAGTTTCTAGGACTTCTGTCCTGCCCCACAATGAAGCACCTATGTGGTCACACTTTTAAGGCAAGTGAGTTTGTTCAAAATTGCCTTGGTTCACCCAGCAGCAAATGGGTACCTGGTGGTGTAAGTCATATGACTATAACCTTCTAGAGCCTCACAGTCCATCATGTTGTATGTGCTTTAAGCATGTCCCTGGAACATTGGGTTCAGCTCTATATAAGTGGCCAATTATTATTATACTTTTTTTCTTTTCCAGCTTTCTTTATCCCGTTCTTCTTCCTGAAAGACAAGGCAGAGATGGAGTCAATCAGTAAAACAGAGGGTGCGCTGATCTTGACGGTCATTGGCATCACCAACACCCTCGGACGCATCATCAGCGGCTGGATCGCAGACCGGCCATGGGCGGACCCTCTCCATCTTAACAACATAGCACTTATCATCGCAGGGATCGCAACGCTGATGGTACCGATGTGTCACTCCTATGTCTCGCTGGCGATCTATGGCACCGCCTTTGGGTTGTGTGTTGGTGAGTTAACAATGGATGGTTACACTTTAGTTTGATGATTTTGATTTGATTTTTGATTTTTATATTTTATTTTTTTGGTGGTCATCAGTTTTGTACACATGTACTAGGAGGGGTCAGCAATTTTGTTCATTAAAAGAATGAATAATTATGTTTACAGATTAAAGGGGGAAGGGGGTCATTGATTTTGTACATGATATGCAAAGGGGGTCACTTACTTTGTACGTAAATTTTAGAAGGGGGGGGGGGTGATTCACATTGTTCATGCTTTGGCATCAAAATCACACCATTGTGCCCATGTGTGGAATTGAACCCAGGTCTTCGGCGGGACCCACAAACACCCCAACCACTGTGCTACCCCACCGCATGTCATAAGACTAATAGGATGATTTTGACGGAAATGCTGCCAATGGCATGAAACAACACTTATAAAACTTTAATTCCAATTGTCACTTGTTACAACCATAAAATTTTGCGACCTTCTGATCAAGGTCGGTCACCTTATCCAATGGCCAATGGTCAGCAGGCTGATAGTCAGGAAGTCATCTGTGGGGATGATTACATGTCCTGCTTCACACTGAGAAAACTGTCAAATTGTCAGTGATTTGTGATATCGCAGTTTTTCCTACGCAAATACAAAATATTTCTCATATTGACAAATTTTTCTTTACAGCGGTGTTTGTATCTCTGAGGTCCATCCTCCTTGTGGACCTCCTGGGTCTCGACCAGCTCTCCAAGTCCTTTGGGATCCTCATGCTTTTTCAAGGTGTGGCTTCCATGGCTGGCCCCCCTCTTGCAGGTGAGTCAAGAGCGAACAATGCATTGATGTAGCCTATAAAAAAATGGTTCCGATTACCCGATCGACCCTTGAATTCTGGTGCCGATCCTAGTTTTTTAAAGAGGTATGAATAAAATAAGCTTTCAGATACCATTGTTTTTTTCCTGGCACCAACGGACATTGGTCATTCTGATAGAGAAAGTCGACATGATGGCCGCAAGCTTGATTGAATAAACAATTACACATTGATAAATGTGTTATTTGTTCGTACTTTACTTCTAAAAATATATGTGAAAAAAACGAAAGAATTCCGACCTACCTACCCTAAATTTTAAACAGGTGTAGTTGGAACCACAACATTATTATTTTTTGGGCCTGTCTTCAAATTTTCTTTGTTGATTAATTCTGCAGTTAATAAAAACGTTTTGGTTCCATTTTTATTTCTGGGTATTGATTTCATCATGTTTTGGTTGTGCATCATGGAATTACAAGAACACTATGTGTGAAAACCTCTCTCACCATGTTTCAATCATGTGACCTGACCTCCCTGTGACCATGACATTCGACAATAACCATGACCTTCTCCTCCCCAGGTACTCTGCTGGATTCGACGAAGAGTGTGAATGTCTGTTTCTACTTGGCTGGCTCGCTTCTTGCTCTCTCTGGCCTTCTTGGAATCCCACTACGACGCCTTAAAAACTGGGAGCTGAACAAACAGCCTGCGAGGCTGCCCGAGGAGATGCCAATCACCGAAACACTACGCTTGGAAGTGGAGAGTACAATATAAACATAATGCTCAAACAGCACTTCAAGGAAGCTTGTTTCGCATGTGTGTGATTTTCCCATAATGCTCTGGAAAATATTCCCATGGTGCATTGGGAAATTACTTGTGCTTGATGAAAGGAAATGCTTGCCCATTAGTCGGAGACTGAATCGAAGATGGGGATTATTTTGTTTCATCAAGCTCTGGTTGAGTGGTCATGTGCAGGATGGACGGCCATATTGTTTTGGGAACCAAATCGGTCATGAATGAAGAACCTTTTTGGTAAGGACCACTTGTGGTACTAGTCTGAGACCTCCTGTGCTCTGAGGGAGGTGTGTTATTGCTTGGACTCCAGGAATTGCGATGGCAGAATGTGTTTCTGTGAGGTAGAGACGGCTTTCACAATTGTTTTTCAAGAACCCCTCACCAGGGATTTTCATTTTTCTTATGAGACTTGTTTTCTGGAAATATTATACAAATATTACTCTGTATATAGTCAAGTTTTTGGAATACCATCACATGATCTGAAGTCATGAAGACATTTAATATCCTGACCTCATATGATCATGTGACCTTTTGAGCCTCAATTTGACATTCTGAGCCTCAGTTTGATGCGTGGTGGACAGAATACCCACATGTTGTGGTCAGTTTTAATATAGGCCAGTTGGGAGTAGAGACGAACTTGGACAAGACTACGGCCATGTTGGATATAAGCCATTTTGGATAAACAATATGTGGAGATGTTTTTGTGATACATAGTTGAATATTCTCACAAAATCTTGATACCTATTTATGAAATCTGCTTGATTTTGAAATTGATCAACTATTCATGAACTGTTGTCGTAAATATTATGACACCTCAAGGTAGTGCGGTGTATGTGGTGTCAAACCTAGCCATCAGCAGTCCCTCTTAGAATAAACCAACATGTGGTGATGGTTTGTAGTAGTGCCAGAGGATGTGATTGGTCACATTTGCTGCCTGTTTTTGCAAGAGAGACACTGATTGGCTAGAATACACTATGGATCTCAAGAGAACTACTACTTACTCAGGAGTATGCTGTATATATTTACCAAGGGTTTATTTAAAAAGAGGGAACCAAAATGAAGGACAAGGTCTGAAGAACATATATTAATTTGTTAATGTGTCGCAAGATAAAACATGGCCATTTTTTAAATAATCATTGCATCACCAGCAATTGATACCAAACCAAAATTTTTTTCGAAAATTAAAAAATTCATTCTTGTGGCGACGTGATTTTTCAAAGTCTTGTGAACGTGATCCAACCACCATGATTGCCTTGAGGAAAGCAGTATTGTAAACAGTGGTGTTGGTTCAAAATAGTGGATCCCTCTTTTTACATATTCCCTGTTTTTTGTATGTGAGAGAGCGCAACTTGATGGGCGTAGTGCTGGGAATCTCAATCTGTAGGAATGATATTTTTCTGTGTTCTCAGTGAGGCTTGCAATGGGGATGTCGTAAACCATGTGGAGAATGTTTTTGAAAATGCATTTTGTCTGAAATTAAACATTTCTATTCATACATCGCAAATATTTATTTTAACTTAAATAAGTATTTCCTATGATATGGAGAAATATTCATAAGATTATTTTCAAGTTGAAACCCCTCATTTCTGACCCTCACTGATCAACATAAAAGGCTACACTATGGACATATGAGTATTTCAGTTGTCATGGCAACTTCATGAAGCTATTCTAATGTTGAGATTTCACAGATTTGAGTTTTATGCAGAATATTGCAAATGAAATGTGAAATTGTTATTTCTGAACACTCTTTGAGCTGGGTTGTTGTGTCAACGCCTTTTACGGACAAACGGATTCATCCGTTCGTCAGACATCATGTTGTTACAGGATACGTTTCATGTGCTTAGCGTGTATTTTGTGAAAATATTTCAAACATTTCTGAAGATATTGGCAGGAAATACATTTCACAATTAAATCAACATTTGTCATTTAACCCATCGTTTCATGCAAATGTTTTTGGCTTAGCTTTTAGACTGAGAATAGGCCATTTTTACTGTTGCTAAAGAATTTTTTCTGAGGTACCTAACAATTAAATAAAATATTATTTTTGCATCAAGTGCCTAAAATAATGCCAAATGAAGAGTTTGGACTTGTTAAGACCCTCAAACTGATGTGGTATCTGTTGATGTGCCTGACACTGCCAAATATCTTCAAAATGTGACCGTTTTGCACAATCTGTCCTGCTCTGCTCTGCTCTGCTGTGCTGGTAGATTTGGTTTAAGTGCTATTTGTGATAATTCTATTGGGGGCTGTGTCAAAAGCATTTTTTCATTTTTGACACAGATCCTCCAAGTCTTGTGCTATTCAATGTTTAGTATTCTTTTAAAATATATATATCTATATCTATACCACCATGAGCTTGGGATGAGACAGTATCCAGAATGACTTTATCTGTGGCCATTTATTAGTGCTTTAATGATCACTTAATTTCTTGTTAATTATTGAATTATTTTGTTTTTATTGGATAAAAAGTAAATAATTTGAATGTGTAGGTATTTATTTGAAAGGTAAAAAGACGGTGTTTCCAATGACAATTAAAAAAGGTCTTGTATTTTTTATAAATTGTGAAAGTGAAATGACAGTGTAACTATTTAAATTGAAGCTGGTCAGACACCAGAAGCAGATCCGTAGGACTGACATTGAGGTCAAGAAACATACAGGGACACCAACCATACAGACCACTGATCCCTAAACATTGAAAAATATTTTGTTTAAAAAATAAGTGTAATATTGATTATCTATAATTATTACTTTCAGACCATATGGAAGAGTTTTAAAAAAATAAATTGGTATAAATTGAATTTTACGCTCAGAAATACGTTTGCCATCATCAAAAGATGATGATGTCAGATAAATTGACACGACGAAAAGAAAATTGTTCCTATGACTGTCCAATTATTTGAGAGTATTTGTAGAATTTGAATTTTGTTGTTTCATCTGTGGATTGTCTCACGTGCTGAAGTAAGCAGGTATATATAACAGAAAGGTATTAATGATGGTGCCATGTATGTCCTGGTTGTTGTGTTTGATTATCAATGAACTGTTTGTTAATAGTGACTCAGAAATGGCAAGAATTTTACCTCATACTACTTCCATCAAATCGTAACATCAGTTATCTCCCTTAGTTGCAACAGCAGTTATCCCCCTTAGTTGGTCTGTGTTTGTTGTTGACAATGTTCATGTCCTTCTCAATATGCTGTAGATAATTTGATACCTTGATGATGTGGCATATTTTGATTGGTTGATGATGAGATCATGACCTGTAAGTTTGTGTCCTTCCTTATTTGGACACAAGACACAACGGAATGGACTGCACTCCCCACACACTCTTGGCATGGACAGGTAAATGGCCTTTCAGGGGTATTATAGATAATGTGATCTGAATGTCAGAGATTAATCTAATCAGTTCAATTTGACAATGAATGAAAGATAGTTCTGAGTTTCTTGGCATATTTCCAGATATTGAGAAATATTTTACAGAGGTGTTGAGGCCAGATTGACCTTCAAATAGTGGTCAAATAGTGGTCAAATAGTGGACTAATAGTAACAGCAAATCAAGAAACTTCTAGTTTAATACTACCCCATATGTATGGAACAAGCTGTCACTCTAAGAAACGATTAATTAATTTGTCATGGTAACAAGGACCCTTCTAGAAGGCTTGTGGGTGCATTATTATTGTTGTACACAAAATATTCACAAAAATATCAATTATGATATGTAGTATATTACAAACCGCAGGACTGAAGTGGTAGTCAGTCATTTACAATGATGTTGAGAATACCATTTTTTTTCTGATATTGTTTTCCTAACTACTAGTTGGCAATAGTTAAAGTTGTAAGAGTCCTCTGTGCAATTGAATGAGGTGTTGTAGTGTTGCTAAGGCTATGGATTTATAATGTAATCCTAACATCACAGCAAAAGTGGATGTTTAGGCAAGCCTTATTGTATGAGGTGATTTATACACATTCAGATTTCATTTATAATATATATGATATGTTATAGAATCACAATTTTGATGTGGAAATAATTATATGGAAAATATCTGAAGCTCCATGAAGTGATGAGGTGCAATCACCATGGAAGAGAGATGAAGAATCATGTTTAATTAGATAACCATCCAAGGTGATGAAAAAACTGACAAAACAAAAGCTATATATACCATAAAGTAGTATGTTATGATATATAGATTGTTTTTTTTCAAATGTTTGTGTCCAGTACAAATGAGACGTGTTATACGCCCAACAGGGGTTTGCCTGCTCCGAATCTGCTTCCGTTACTCTGCATTTTATCTTGGATAAGGTATGTGTGTATTCTCTCCGCATACTACCAATGACAGAAGATGTTTTCAAATGTTTAATATCTGCTGTGTGTGTTCCCATTGACTTGATACTGGGATCGACCTGGGGCCAGTTTTAAGAATCTTTTAAAGTCCTTTTAAGTTGATTGTTATTATACATTTGTCCCAGTTAAAATTGATTTAGTTTATTTTTAAATCGAGTGCTGAAGTGCTTTTAGACTACACCGATAAATGTTGATAGGAAATAGATGCATCCAGAATTGACATTGTATACAAACTGAAGATATTTAGCATTTAAAAGGGTTGTGCAAACTGAGATGAAAAATAAGAGTTGTATTGCTAAGTAGGTAGGTCCAGCTTTTTGAGGATGTGAGTCCCCCTTTAAGACTTAAAAACACAGCATGGTGTGTTATATGAAGAGTAAGATTAGATTGTTACTTACTGGGAGACAGATGTACCGTTATAAATGTATAGGATGGGCGGGGCAGCTGTGACATGAACAGTATGGTAAACTGGTTATTAGGCAGGCCATGCCTAAGTTAGAGATTGGGGGGCTACTTTAAACAAAAATTCAGCAAGAGTAGGGCTGCTGTGAGTGTTAAAGAGTATGGATAACTGAAGTTAAAAGCAGGCAAAGCCTTAAGAAGTAGGAGGCCTACTTGGTGTTTGTGTAGCCAGAGCATGGCTACTGTGAGTGAGGAAGAGTATGGATAATTGAGGTGAGGTTGGGACAGTCCATGTGTACAGAGGGGACGCATGTGTGTGATTAGTTCAAGTCAATGGAATACTACCTACCAGCCTGTATCTGTCTGTACAGATGTCATGTGGTTATAACACATGGTTATAACATGTGGTTATAACACGTGATGATAACCTGTGGAAGCCTTGGGACTCCATATGTTCAACAGTCCAGGGCAAATTCTGCTAGCTTAGATGACCTTCACCTTCACAATGAAGGTCAAGGCAGGTGTGTACAGAGACTGGTACAATGTTGTTGAATAAAATTCATATTGTTTTTTTTTACATTTTTGAGTTGTGTTGTTTTTCCTGTGGAATGTAGTCTCACCATTGGCTCATGACCTGAAAGACACAGGGTCGAATCCCAACATGGGCTGAATTCCAAGGAGTGAATTCCATTTATGATATGATAATTCTAGAATGTTGTTAGAAGCGGGGTTTAAACAGTATTTCCTCACTCATTCACACCATTCCAAACACAACCATACCAGATCAGTCATTGAGACAAATCATATCAACATTACCATGCCAGATTAATCAGTGAGACAAATCATATCAACACAACCATACCAGATCAATCAGTGAGAAACATCATCAATATCAACACAATCATACCAGATCAATACCAGATCAATCATATCAACATAAACATACCAGATCAGATCAGTGAGACACATCATATCAACACAACCATACCAGATCAATCAGTGAGACACATCATATCAACACAACCATACCAGATCAATCAGTGAGACACATCATATCAACACAACCATACCAGATCAATCAGTGAGACACATCATATCAACACAACCATACCAGATCAATCAGTGAGACACATCATATCAACACAACCATACCAGATCAATCAGTGAGACACATCATATCAACACAACCATACCAGATCAATCAGTGAGACAGATCATATCAACACAACCATACCAGATCAATCAGTGAGACACATCATATCAACACAACCATACCAGATCAATCAGTGAGACACATCATATCAACACAACCATACCAGATCAATCAGTGAGACACATCATATCAACACAACCATACCAGATCAATCAGTGAGACATCATCATATCAACACAACCATACCAGATCAATCAGTGAGACACATCATATCAACACAACCATACCAGATCAATCAGTGAGACAACATCATATCAACACAACCATACCAGATCAATCGGTCAGTGGACACATCATATCAACACAACCATACCAGATCAATCAGTGAGACACATCATATCAACACAACCATACCAGATCAATCAGTGAGACACATCATATCAACACAACCATACCAGATCAATCAGTGAGACACATCATATCAACACAACCATACCAGATCAATCAGTGAGACACATCATATCAACACAACCATACCAGATCAATCAGTGAGACACATCATATCAACACAACCATACCAGATCAATCAGTGAGACACATCATATCAACACAACCATACCAGATCAATCAGTGAGACAAATCATATCAACACAACCATACCAGATCAATCAGTGAGAGAGATCATATCAACACATCAATCAGATCAATCAGTAGAGACACATCATATCAACACAACCATACCAGATCAATCAGTGAGACACATCATATCAACACAACCATACCAGATCAATCAGTGAGACACATCATATCAACACAACCATACCAGATCAATCAGTGAGACACATCATATCAACACAACCATACCAGATCAATCAGTGAGACACATCATATCAACACAACCATACCAGATCAATCAGTGAGACACATCATATCAACACAACCATACCAGATCAATCAGTGAGACAATCATATCAACACAACCATACCAGATCAATCAGTGAGACAAATCATATCAACACAACCATACCAGATCAATCAGTGAGACAAATCATATCAACACAACCATACCAGATCAATCAGTGAGACACATCATATCAACACAACCATACCAGATCAATCAGTGAGACACATCATATCAACACAACCATACCAGATCAATCAGTGAGACAAATCATATCAACACAACCATACCAGATCAATCAGTGAGAGACATCATATCAACACAACCATACCAGATCAATCAGTCAGAGACACATCATATCAACACAACCATACCAGATCAATCAGTGAGACACATCATATCAACACAACCATACCAGATCAATCAGTGAGACACATCATATCAACACAACCATACCAGATCAATCAGTGAGACACATCATATCAACACAACCATACCAGATCAATCAGTGAGACATCACATCATATCAACACAACCATACCAGATCAATCAGTGAGACACATCATATCAACACAACCATACCAGATCAATCAGTGAGACACATCATATCAACACAACCATACCAGATCAATCAGTGAGACAAATCATATCAACACAACCATACCAGATCAATCAGTGAGACACATCATATCAACACAACCATACCAGATCAATCAGTGAGACAAATCATATCAACACAACCATACCAGATCAATCAGTGAGACACATCATATCAACACAACCATACCAGATCAATCAGTGAGACAAATCATATCAACACAACCATACCAGATCAATCAGTGAGACAAATCATATCAACACAACCATACCAGATCAATCAGTGAGACACATCATATCAACACAACCATACCAGATCAATCAGTGAGACACATCATATCAACACAACCATAGCAGATCAATCAGTGAGACAACCATATCAACACAAGATACCAGATCAATCAGTGAGACACATCATATCAACACAACCATACCAGATCAATCAGTGAGACACATCATATCAACACAACCATACCAGATCAATCAGTGAGACACATCATATCAACACAACCATACCAGATCAATCAGTGAGACACATCATATCAACACATCATAGATCAACACAATCATATCAACCAAGATCAGATCAATCAGTGAGACACATCATATCAACACAACCATACCAGATCAATCAGTGAGACAAATCATATCAACACAACCATACCAGATCAATCAGTGAGACAAATCATATCAACACAACCATACCAGATCAATCAGTGAGACAAATCATATCAACACAACCATACCAGATCAATCAGTGAGACACATCATATCAACACAACCATACCAGATCAATCAGTGAGACACATCATATCAACACAACCATACCATACCAGATCAACAAATCATATCAGTGAGACACAATCATATCAACACAACCATACCAGATCAATCAGTGAGACACATCATATCAACACAACCATACCAGATCAATCAGTGAGAGACACATCATATCAACACAACCATACCAGATCAGTTAGTGAGACACATCATATCAACACAACCATACCAGATCAATCAGTGAGACACATCATATCAACACAACCATACCAGATCAATCAGTGAGACACATCATATCAACACAACAACCATACCAGATCAATCAGTGAGACACATCATATCAACACAACCATACCAGATCAATCAGTGAGACACATCATATCAACACAACCATACCAACAGATCCAGATCAATAGTGAGACACACATCATATCAACACAACCATACCAGATCAATCAGTGAGACAGATCATATCAATCCAACAATCAACACAACCATACCAGATCAATACCAGTGAGACACATCATATCAACACAACCATACCAGATCAATCAGTGAGACAAATCATATCAACACAACCATACCAGATCATCTTTCAGTGAGACAAATCATATCAACACAACCCCCGTTAGTCGCCCCTTACGACAAGCAGGGGTTACTGAAGATCAATATTCTAACCCGGACCTTCACGGGTTAGTAAAATATGAGTCTGTGGTTACACACTTGTGATATCATCAATACATACTACAGACCGATTTCCATGTCTGCAATTACCATTTTCAACTCGGTTGTCTCTATGACTTCAGACAGGTTCGAACATCAAGTTCACTATCTTGAAAAGTGTCTTGATTGTGATTTACAACTCACATGCTAAAATTTACAATGTGAGGAGGTGGGATTGGGAGGTGTGTGTGGGGGGGGGGTGGTGTGGGGGTGTTTGTTGTTGTTTGGGGTTGTTGTTTTTTAGAATTATCGCCCAAAATACCAAGAGTGTCGGGCGGTGGAGTAGCCTAGTGGTAGGCTCGTCACGCCGAAGACCCGGGTTCGATTCCCCACATGGGTACAATGTGTGAAGCCCATTTCTGGTGTCCCCCGCCGTGATTGTTCACATTGAACAAACGTGTTGCATTACGAATGGTATCAGTTACGTTTCATGACGCTTTCACCTAACCTGAAACGGTGGGATGGCCCAGTGGTTAAAGCGTTCGCTCTTCACACCGAAGACCCAGTTCGATTCGCTGCATGGGTACAATGTGTGAAGCCCATTCCTGGTGTCCCCCGCCGTGATATTGCTGGAATATTGCTAAAAGCGGCGTAAAGCCATACTCACTCACTCACTCACTCACTCACCAAGAGTGTACTTTCTTATGTACGTTACGTCAGTGAAGTCACGAAATCTGAGTCATGATCGTAGCTCAGTTCAACACCGCTCGCCTCGGGGTCACGTGTTTGGCACAAAGCCACAAACTTTCCAACCAAAAGCTACCCGCATAATCACAGTCCACGGTAGGAAAACTGTGTAACTGTGTAACATTATCACAATTGAAGCCAAGACCAATGACCGTAGGGGCGGTGGGGTAGCCTAGTGGTTAAAGCGTTGGCTCATCACGTCGAAGACCTGGGTTCGATTCCCCACATGGGTACAATGTGTGAAGCCCATGTCTGGTGCCCCCGCCGTGATGTTGCTGGAATATTGCTAAAAGCGGCGTAAAACCATACTCGCTTGCTCGCCCAATGACCGTCCTGTTTGGCTGAAGATTACGTGCCTCGGTTGTAGGTGAGTAGTGAGTGAGTATGATTTTACACCGCTTAACCGCTTTACGGCAATATCACGGCGGGGGACACCAGAACTAAGCTTCACACATTGTACCCAAATGTGGAAACGAACCCGGGTTTTCGGCGTGACTAGCGAACACTTTATCCACTAGGCTACCCCACCGCCCTCAAGCAACTTCAGCTATGGTACACTATATACATAGGGGGATCCAAGAATTTTTTTTATTTTTTTATTTTTTTTATATATTCCCCTGAAGGATGGCCTCACTTCACATATTCGGATGCTTGTCGTAAGAGGCGACTAACGGGATCGGGTGGTCAGACTCACTGACTTAGTTGACACATGTCATCGTATCCCAATTTCGTA